ACAGCTCTCAGATTCCATCAAAAATATCTTAATTTGTGTTCCGAAGATGAACAGAGGTCTTACGGGTTTGAAACGACATGAGGGTGAGTAATTAATGACAGAATTATCATTTTTGGGTGAACTAACCCTTTAAATATATTACTCACTTTAAATATTATTTAATATAGATCTACTCTATTCATATTAATAAGTTGTGTTAATATAGTAAAATCTTTAGCAGTGTTTTATTACCTCTAGTCCTACTTAATATAGCATAGAAACATTAAACCCAGTATTCAGAGTATCTGCAAATGAGCAACAAGAACGCATCCAAGCAACTGATATTCAAGGGTTGGCATTGTAAATTAGGAAGAATGTAAATATTTATCTGTTCATTGTAGCAGAAATGAAAATGTGTTTAATATCACCTCCAATGGCAAGCACACAGCACTCTGTGGTGTGATTAATCGAGTCCTAATAAAACAAGATTCAAACTAGAAACTTCGAAAAACGCAAAGTTGGTGACTAAAAGCTTGGTAAAGTTATTGCTAAAAAAGAGAGAAAGATCTGTTTAAGAGAACAACATAGACCTTTCCTCTGAGAACATTTATACATTTATATATACTGCCATCTTGTGTTTGAAAAGGTGCCATTAATCGTACATCTACATCAGCCCAATATAACCTTAAGATCTCATTATGACTCATTGTGCAATACTCACACTAAATCCACACATTACCAGCAAGTAAATGTCATGTATTATGGTTTTGAAAAGGTCATGGGCTCCATGCTGGATGAGCTGATCTATAAACGTGGTGAATATCAAGAGAACTGCACACGATTCCTGAAAGCCACTTTATACTATCTCTTGTGCAAATCACCCTATAGGAATTTTCTGCAATGGAACATTTGATGTTTTTGCCTGTTGGCCACATTCATCTCCTGGGATCGTATCTGTACCCTGCCCTCCTTATTTACCATGGATCAAAGAAGGTCACTTATTCTGTTCTAGTTTAACACTTTTGTCGTATTATAGTTAAAAAGTTAGTTGTATCATTGCATCGTGTAGCATTATTTTCTGAACTAAAAATCAAATTATATATTATTAATTAATTTATTATTAATATATTCAATTATGTATACTGTTTTTTTCATGTTTTTAAAAGAAGTCTCTTCTGCTCACCAAGGCTGCATTTATTTGATACAGTAAAACAGTAATATTGTGAATTATTATTATTAACATATAAAATACCTGTTTTTGTATTGTAATATATTTTAAAATGTAGATCTGTGATGGCAAAGCTGAAGCACCAAGTCAGCATATTAGGATGATTTCTGAAGGATCACGAGACACTGAAGACTGGAGTAGTGATGCTGAAAATTCAGCTTTGATAACAGAAATAAACTACATTTTACAATTTATTCACAATTTTAAATTGTAATAATATTTCACTGTTTTTACTGTACCAAATAAATGCAGTCTTGGTGAGCAGAAGAGACTTCATTCAAAAACATAAAAAAATCCTAATGATTCCAAATGTTTGACTGATAATGTATAATTTTCTAATTAAACACTTTAAACATAAGAAATGTATGGTGGTCATTATCAGGTGCTACTGGAAACGTGTACAAGGAATGCACGGCCAACGGAACCTGGAAACCTGAGGAGAATTCCAGCAGCCTATGGAGAAATCATTCAGAGTGTGAAAACCATTCTTTTTTCAAGTCCGAGGTGAATATTGCTACCATACAACTATGATTTTCGTCACAGAATGATTTTTACAATAGTATCCTGCATACACAGGAAGAAGAAGTGTTTCGGCAGTCTGTGCTGAGAGTCTTGTCCATTGTAGGATACTCGCTGTCATTTTCCTCTCTTTGCTTGGCTGTTCTGATCATGAGTCTTCTGAGGTGAGCGGTGTTCTGCAGGGCTTGGTGTTTGGTCCCCTTATGTTTCTTAGTGTAACTTTAAGATAGCTTGCAATAATGGTTTCCTTCACTATTTCTCATAACACTTTAATCATAATCTCACTGGTTAATGCTGGATTCTGTGCCATTAGTCATACAGATGACGACAAACCATTGAATAATTTGGAATGTAGACATTCTATCCTGTTCACTATGTTGACATTTAGCCAATGTTCTCTGTCACTGTACTTACATAATTAGATTTATTTTTGTACTTACATTTCCAAGCTTTGTTTTCATTAATCAAATAGATTCCATTCTGTCCTGTCCGGTCATTTATTCTGTTCCAGCCCAGAGCTGGCTCCAGATATCTGATATCCTAATTTTATTTGTCCCTGACCAAGAAATAAATGATTTTTACCTGTTGTTTCAGGAAGCTTCACTGTACGAGGAACTACATCCACATGAATCTCTTTGTATCATTCATATTTAGAGCAATAGCAGTAATTATCAAAGAGGTTATATTTCAAGTCATGTATACCAACCTGCCCAGGGATGAGATCGGTTGGAACAGCTACACAAAATCTACGGTACAGAAACATTTGTTTATGTGTCTGTTTTTAAGTTGTGTGGAATTATTTCAAGGAATTACATCTGAGCAAGTCTACAAAACTTACTGAATGTTATTTCAAAAAACAAAAAAGACAAGACAAATGCAGTAATATACTGTAAATGTCAACCTTCCAGATGTTATTCGTCTGCAAGGCCTCAAAGGTGTCGCTGGAATATTTTGTTGGGTGTAATTACTTCTGGCTGTTAGTGGAGGCGATATTCCTGCACACGCTGCTGTTCACTGCAGTTCTGACCAGGAAAAGACTTCTTAAGAAATATATGATTATAGGATGGGGTGAGGCTTGTTTTTACTACAGAAAAATGCTCTTTCCTTTTTATTTTCTTTAAAAATATGTCATACATTTAAATATGACTTATTCATTCTCCGGCTTTATCCAATGAACTCATTCAGGTACTCCATTACTGTTTGTGATTCCCTGGACTGTTGCCAAAACTTTGTATGAAAATAAAAGGTATGTGCCTGTTTTACTTCTTATTGACACTTTAAAAAGATGTTTTGAATGTAATACAGAAAATCATTTGGTATTTTATGGTGGAATAAATGTTCTTGGTAATGATATGCACTGAAAAAATGGTGTAGGATTAACTTTGAAACTATTTGTACTCAGAAATTAATATTACATTTCACAAATAATTACTTAGAAACACTGAATTAAACTGTTGAAAGACTGAAATTGCATTTTCTTGTTAAATGTACTCCAGTAATCTTCAAAAAAGTTCTCATGTACAGTATATAAAACTAAACATAACTGTTTATGTTATATAATGACATTATATTTCTTAATAAATAATTGTAACTATAGTTAAAATAAATTCGGTAACACTTAAATCATTTATATATAATGCATTATAAATAATATGTTTTCTTTTTCTAAAGCTGTTGGTTACATAACATCAGATGGATATGGTGGATAATTAGAGGCCCAATAACATTATCAGTGATTGTGAGTATAATGCCTTATGAATTTCATTTAAAATGGCTTGTTTTTCTTTTGTAGTTGTTTTCTTTTGATGCCATATTTAATATGAAGACTGTGGAAGGAGAAAAGCAGGGTTAGTTGGTTTACATCTGTTCTGCCGTCATGCTGTAATGCTGATTTCACTGTAGTTGAAGTCGTTCCTCGTGTGTCACGTCTCATGCTGGTCACAAGCTCATGGGAACGAGCCGGAAAACATGACAGTTACAACGGATCAAACCTGTCGTTCTGCATCACCGCTGGTTCTGTACAAGCAATGTTCAAAATGTGTTTGAACCCTTTATTATTCAGAGGCAGATCATCATAATAAATGTACATGTAATATCATAAATTATTTGGTAATAAATTGTGTGTATTTAATGGGGTCATCGGATGCCCATTTTCCACAGTTTGATATGATTCTTTAGGGTCTTAATGAAAAGTCTATAACATACTTTGGTTAAAATTTCTCAATGGTAGTGTAAAACAACACCCTTTTTACCCTGTCAAAAACAGCTTTGTTCACAGCAAGCCGTTTTAGTGCATGTTCCTTTAAATGCAAATGAGCTCTGCTCACTCCGCCCCTCTCTTCCGAGCCGCCGTCTGAGAGACTGTAAACTTTAGCTGCATTCATTGTGAAACTTGCTAACTAGCGCATTATTAGGAAAGGCGATTTGCAAAGATTCATATAAAAACCTTCACAAAAACTCACTTCTTCTGTAGGTGAAGCTGGATCATGAATGATTCGCGCGAACATAGACGTATTTAGGCAGATCGGGGGCGCATTCACCTTCAGAAACAATGTAATCCACTGCGAGTTCAGCGGCTCAGATGTCGGGAGTAAATGACGACTGCTATGTTCAATATTACATCCAACAACAGAACACCTCAATCGCTTAATCGGTGACATTCTTGTCTTCCCCTGCACCGATACAATGGCGGACTGATGACAGCTCACTCAGGGCGGAACTGTGATAAAACCAAAGACTGACGCCACTGTCAATCAACAATCGTGGGAGGGGCCTGTGCAGAACTACATCATTCTGCCAAGAATCTGAGATCGGCTCGATATGAGAAAGGGGTTTGGATTTATCGAGATTTAAAAAAAAAAAAGCACTGGGTGGATTTTTAGCATTATAGGGTGGTTGTGTACACATTTCAGTTCAAACAACATGTAAAAGTGAATTTTGCATCCGATGACCCCTTTAATGCAATTTAGAGTATTAAATAATAACAACTAAATAGTTGCTTGATAAACATGCATCAAAATTCAGTAAAATGAAATACATTTTGATGAAACATAGGGTATTAAAAATAATAAAATCAAAACTTCATCAACACCCAATCATGCTCAAAAACAACTGGTGGATTGTCAGTTAATAAACGTGAAGTGAAATTAAATAAATTTTGATTAAATATAGAGTAATAAAAAAAAATCAGTACTTAATTACCACTCAGTCCTGCTCAAAAAAGATACTTATAAGGAAATGTGAATCAAACACAAGTAAAATGTTGATATAATCATACACTCACTTGTCTTTCAGGTCATTTTTTGCATTTTTCTTAAAATCATCCGACTTTTGCGGTCCAAGTTAAAGGCTGACCAGGTGAAGTTCACTGACTACAGATACAGGTTAGTCACTGCTTATCTGAAATATGTTTGTCCATATAAAACTGATGGTGACAAGACTCGTTTCATGTGATTTGCATCCTTTTCTCAGTCTAGCCAGAGCAACGCTTGTGTTGATTCCTCTGCTCGGGGTCCATGAAATCGTCTTTACCTTAATTATAGACGAATCAGTTGAGGGAAGCAGCCGCTACGCTCGACACTTCGTCAATCTGACCCTGAGCTCTTTCCAGGTGACAAAACTGCTTGTTTTTTCTTTCTGACTAGAATACTGAAAACAATTGATTTATTCAGAAATTGCTTTTGAATTTCACCAGTGATTACAAAGAAAAGGCAAGAAATTCACTGAATTATGTGTTTGAAAAAACATTTGAAAAAATGAAAGTTTTTTTTTTATTATTTAAACTTTGTAAACTTTATGTACAACTTTGAAAAATCATTTTTATATTGTATTTTGCCTCACCAAAACCTCTAACCATGAGCTTTATTGTTCAACAGGGTCTTTTAGTTGCAGTGTTGTACTGCTTTGCAAATGGAGAGGTACGTTTGGTGAAGATATTTGAACTTTAACCCTCATAATGCATTTAAAATCTTCATACTATTTTCACATTCCTGTTCTGTTATTTTATAATTTCTCATCAGCAACTTCTCAATAATGAGTGAATGTGAAAAGAAAAAATGCAAAATTTTAAATGTTACTACTATGTTAGTGCCATGTTATTACTGCATTTACCCATTTTTTATTAATTAAAAAGTGAAAAATTATTTGGAATTTATAACTACACATGTACCACAAAAAAAAAAAAACCTATGATGCAGAATATCTATCAATTTTTTCCATACTGATGAGATTTATTTAAATTTTTATTTATTTTATATATATATATATATGCATACCATTGTATGAAATTTATAAAAACATATAATCTGAGAATTACCGTTATTAACCCTATTGGAATGAATTAAATTTAATAAAATTCCTTTGAATTTATAACTCATGATTGCTCAAAAACAATACAAATGTATGAAACTAACATGGTTATTTCTTACAAAACAACATTAAAACAAATATTACTCTGAAACTTTGTCAAAATAAATGTATTTTATTTGCATAAACTTTCACTTTCAGACGAAAAAAAGGAATGAATCGTTCGTCAGTAGATGTACATATTCATGTTTATCATCAAAATTTAGTACCAAAAGTGTGTGAGATATGGGGAAAAGGCAAAATATATTTTAAAAAAATATAACTTCACTGATCATTTTAGAAAAAGTATTTTTGAGACCTAATAGTGCTTCACATATACCCAGGTTAAAATGACCCGAACATGAAACATATTGGTGTATTTTGAGGATCTTAAAGCACTTGCAAATTTTCGTTCCCTTACTAAAAAGGTTAAGTGTGAGAATATCTTACACCATAGACCTAACTTTGGAAACATGTCCTCCAGGTCCAGGCTGAGCTGAAGAAGAGGTGGCAGCTGTTCATTTCCTCCAATCACTTTGAGGTGCACAACTGCTTTGCCGACATTCACCCCAAACACCTGTGGAAGTGCTCACAAAAGAGACCCGGACAAACCACAGAACAGAGCGAATCCAATGAGGGAAGCCACGCCCCCACACAGGGACATCTGCTGCAGGTGGCCGTCCAATCAGCAGAGGACGTGCCGTGTGGGCGGAGCTCCGGCCTGGAGTTTTACATGAGGAAGAGCCTCTCCAGCAGCGACGGGGAAATGACTTTAGGAGAGACGATGGAGGAGATCATAGAGGAGAGTGAGTTTTAACGTCTCATCGGCCCCCCTTTCAGAATAACTTTTCTATAAATATGTAATTAAGGATGTGTATATATATATATATATATATATGTAAATATATATATATATTTATATACAG